AGGTGCCTAATTTTTCCCATGCTCTGTATAGGAAATCTGAACACAGAACAAGAGGTTCTGAACTCCCCTTTAGGAACCAGTACCTTTCACTTCAGCACTCAGGGTTGAAGTGCTGGGTAACTAATTCCCATACTGGAACTGATCTTCAGGCTATCACCTCAAAAGTCTATTTCAGAGATACACTTTTTCCACTATATTTCCCTTCCCAGTGTATTTGGCACTGATATTTTTTTTTTTATTATTCCTTCTTACAAGTGCTCCATTGTTCTTTTGGCTCTTCCAAATAGCTTTAAAATTAAAAGTTTCAAAAATCAAGTCAGACTTTAAGTTGGGTATATTTTTTGTTTTGACCTGCTGCAGAATGCAGCCATTTTCCCATTACAGAAGCTTGACTACGCCTATTTTCAGATAACAAGCTAGATTGGAGTTGTTTTTCTAATCAAAAACATTTGTGATACAGTTTTATGCATTTCTCCAAAACTCTGCCTGGATTGGAATAAACACACACCTTCCAGATGAAGTTTTGGATTATATTTGGAGAAAAACTGACTTTGGAAAATGTCTGAGGAAAATCACAGGAATCTCCCCCCCTTCTTTTTTTAAAAAAAAAAAAAAAAAAAACAACAGAGCATTTTCAATACAATTGGCTTTTTGGGAGTTCAGTTTCTGACTTAAACTTCTACAGTTTTGCAGTGATTTCCTTAAACCTGACTGGTTCAGCATTCTGACAGGGAGCAGTAGGAAGGAGTGCAGTTCTTCATGACCAGAGATGTCTCACTGGTGTGAAGGACATTGGTAAGTGGGCTGTGGTGATGACACAAGAGTTGCAGGACAGCAGTGAGGGCCAGAAGGGACGGACTGATTTTCAAATATAGTGTCTTATTTAAGAAATGAGGTTCTATTTCTGACAAATCGAGGAATGGGTGAAATTTGTAAAAAACTATTTATAATTTGGATTGTGAAACAGTGATATTGGATTGTATGCTTAGAGGTCAGCCTCTTTCAGATCTCTAAATACTTTGACAGTCCTGTTTTTAACAGAGGAAAAACAGTGTGGGCTAGTGCTGTGAGTTATCAAGTTTGTTGGTTTCACCTGCTTCCTGGTGGACAGCTGTGTGTAGAAGAAGGCTTCTAGGTGGGATTAGTAAATGGGAACGGACCACAGACCAAATGTTTCAATTTACAGGGATGTTTAATGGGGAATTTCAAGACAATTCCCAAACATTGGGACCTAGTTTTCTCAGGGAGCTTTGGGAAAGAGCATTCAGTGCCCTTCAGAATCACCGTGCCCTGATACAGCAACCTGAATGTGTGCTGCCAACCTAGAGCAGGGTTACTCTTTGCTGGCCCAGTGCTGTGAGGTGTCTCATCACGCTCTTTTGCTTGAATTGTTTTAAAGGTGGTGACAGACGTTTCATCAAATTGTAGAAACTGACCTTGGGCTGGTGTTTCAGGGAGCATTTTTGAGGTGGTGAGAAGAGCTACTAGCACAGGAAGAATTGGCTATAGAAGAGTTTTCTGTAGTGCCAGAGCAGTCTCTCTTTTGGCCAGGCTGCAGCATCTCATCTGATCTCTGGGCTTGCCAAGACAGAGAGGAAAGAATTTTTCTTCAGTAGTTCAGAAATTACACAGGTGCCAGTATGTCCTTTCCAGTCCCTGTTCTGGAAGCGACTCCTCCATCTCCAGTTACATATGAGCACTGTAACATGCTTTATTACTTTTTCAAGCTGCAGCATATTTCCCAGGTTCATTTGTATAGTTTTCCTGGATTGAACCTGGTTCCAAACATAATAGTACACTGGCTTTAGCCCCATTCAGCATTCAGCTTGAGAAGAAATTATAGGCACGAGCAGTGAAAGAGGAGAGGATGGGGCCTTGTTTTGGTTACAAGATCTAGGCAAACAACTAGGTCGTTTTTTGAACATTTGTACAATAAAAAGTATGATAGGGAAAGGTAACTCACAACAGATGTAGTTCCAGAGGTCTGAAATCCTGTCAGAGGAAAGAATGGAAAGAAGGAGAGATATGTTTCCAGGTGCATTTCAAAGCCTCCATTATCACACATGGATGGTGAAATTTTAATTGGAGATTTGAAGATGCCTGAGGTCAGGAATAAATGGCACTAAGAATATTTTTATTTTCCACTATATACAGGGATGCAAGAGAAGTTGTACCAGGTAGACAGAGTTTTATATTATTTCATCTCAAAACAAAAGCCAAATCATGACCTGAAGAAACACAGCTACTCTGGAGGAGGAGACAATAGCTGTTTCACTGCACAATAGATTAACACCATAAAACAGGACAGAGACCAAAAACCTCTCCTTATTCTGCATAAACACAAACAGTTTAAGAACAGAATACAGATAACTACCTTTGCATTTTAGAGATATAATAAATTTGGTACTTCTAGATTTATGGTAAATGTCCTGGGAACATTAAAAAGGTCAGATATCCAATTGGGTCCACATCCAACAGCACAGGCACACCTTCAAGATTTTCACTGAAAGTGATGAATTTTAACAAGCCTTTCTGGATTCCAAGTTTGCCTTAGTTTTTTATCAAAGGGCTGACCAGTTTATGCTACTTATCCTGTAAACCATAATAATAACAAATGGGGAAGATAGTGAGGATTTATACAGCTTTATATTTAATATGGGGAGTTTCTAGAAGGAGTCTGTAAGTAGGGACTGTTGCCCAGGCTCCAAGCTTTGGCCAAGCAGGTCTTGGCAGGCTTCAGAGAGGGTGGTGAAAAGGCAGCTTTAAGCCATCCTTGCATCATCCTGGGGCTGGTCTCCCTGACAGTGTGTTCCCTTGTGTAAACTGTAACACCAGCAGAGCTACTGAATTTTGCACTGGCTACCACTGGACCCAAGAAACTAGTCTGGTAACTAGAGATCCATGAAAATTAGGCTCGGCTCAGCCATTTTTAAAGTGTATGTCTTTCACAAGGACTCAGAAAAGGAAGAGCCATTGCAGTCCTTGCAGTGGCTGCAGACCAGCTGAGGCTTTGTCGTATCTGCACTGGCTGATGCACAAGTAGCTGGCTGAGCTGCCTTGCAGACTCCATTGCGCTGATAATGTGGCAAAAAAATAGATTTCAGTGTCTGAAGGATCTGGCCCGTATGTCTGTGTGTGCACGTGCAGATGTGTGTGATGTCAGTGAATGTCCCCCGCTCCCTCCAAAGGTCACTCTGACTGAAATTTTTCACTTGCTTCAGAATAAGCAACCTCGAGAATGTAATGAAGGAAATGAGGTCTGAAATTTGTTTCCTAACATCCATGAATTGCAGCACTGAGCTAAGGGGAAAGCATTCAAATCCCTCTCTGCCCTCTTGGATAGGAATCTGTTTGTAGCTCCATAATAATCAGCAGACATCAGTGTCTGCTACAACTGAGTATTTTTGGTATCTAATTGGCACTTAGATACCAATGTGAGAGAAGCTTTAGAAATAGCTAAAGCAGATAAGTATTGCTTCTTTTCCTGTGTGTATGTCTGTATCGTCTGTGTGAAGCTGTGTATTAATGTGAAAAATTCCCTGTTGATTTTAATGGGATGCATCTCTCTGCAGAGCATTTGATTCATTCAAAGCTGCAGTAATGTATAGAAGGGATAATTTTTTTCCTTGTGCCCTGAACATCTAGAACAAATTCCTGAAATATTATTTGTGCAGAAACTGTGAATGCTCTCAGCTTGCAAATGAAGTCAAACCCTTGTTAATGTTTACAGTAAAACAGCTGTTCTCAGCATCTTTCCCTGAGCCTCAGCTACTTTAGCTCTACCATACTCAGCCTTACATCATAGCAGCTGCAATAATACGAGGCTGAAAGAGGTCAGAAGCAGCCAGTCCTGCTAAACCACACCTTTGTTTAAAAGAGATTCTGGATCGTAAAATATCTCAATTGCTAAATATTTTGGCCTGACTGGACTCCAAGCATGGGCTAGGTCTTCAAAGACCTAGCTCACCAAAAGCACATAGGCACTGCGAGCACAGAGTAAAGCAGAACACAGGGTCTTTATACATTTTTCTGGGAAAGTTTCTATAGATCCAGACTGGGAAATGCTCCAAGGCTTCATAGAACTAAAGATAACAGTAATAAAAAAATGGACTAGAGCACACTGACTTTTAAAAAGAAATAGCTGAGCTATTAAAGTTGCATTACAAAGCCTTGATAATTTGTGCAGCAAGACTTTGCTAATTTTCACAAATAAAAGTAAGATCACTACAGATTACTGAATTTTAAGAATTAGCAGGTATGTAAACAAACAACATTCTAAGAAAAGAAAAAAACATCAGCATGTAGGTTTCTTTAAAGACTATAATTTCTTTGTAAATATTTATGATTGCTCAAACAATAAATGCTACTGGATATGGTTTGTAAAAATAATAAGGTGTTAGCAGAATGTAAAATAGACCATTGCCTTGCTCAGTCTTCTTTTCAGAAGAGAGAGGCCATAATTTTTCTGCTAAGTATAATATGGTCTGTTGAGCTTCTGCAGTGTCTACAGTGTAGAAATACACAAATAAATAGGAGTTTAAAGTAAATTTAAGAATATTTTAACATTAGATGTCCTACACAGGATTTACTGAAATCTTTTCTTCTGCTGAGTAGCAGTGGGAGATATGTGGGTTTTAGCACATAAGAGAAAATGCGTTCATTGCTGGTTTATTACCCAACATAGGAATTGGATAAAATATGTCACTTTTATTTTACTGAAAATGCAAATTTGAAAATCACAGTCAGAAGAAAATAAGATTTGTACAGTTGAAAAAAGATCCAAATAAATTTATAGGCACAAGAGGTTATTTTAGTAGCATTTTCACAGTTAAAATCAAGCGTGAACATTGCAGTCACATGTCATATACTACCTGTGACACCAACAGCAACCTTGCCTAATCTTGCGATTCACAGGGCAATGTCACAGGCTGTCAGATGATGTCACTGATGTCCTAGATTATAGACTGTCACAGCTGGAATGCTTACTGCGTTTAGCAGATTCCACAGCATGTTGCCATCAAAAGGACTTAGTAAGGAATCTCAAATGTGCTTTCCAGTAGGAGAAAGAGAAAGAAGAAGTAAGCAAAAGAGGCCACACAGAAGAATTTGTAGATTTCATTGACACAGGTACTTTTAGTTGATACAGATACTTTTAATCCAGGGGGATTAGAGATTTCATTGATACATTGGAAAGGCAGTGTATAGTGGAAATCACTGGGTCTAAATTGTAATAAATTGGATTGTAGTTTCAGTTACGAATCATAATGGTGGTGAATTACTTGCCTTGAAACAATTGTTTGAGACCCTAATGATTTCAGAGTGTAGTTGTATGAGGCATTGACCAGAGCAGTAAAATACATACCTGTTCCTGAAGAGCAAAGAGGCTAAATGTACAAGGACTAGGCAAAGGTAATGAGGTGTAATACTCAAGCAAATTATTTAAATGTACTATAGGTACATATGGTAGCTCCATGCTTTTATCACAAAATCATGTAGTGCCTAAGGAAGAACCACTGCCCTTAAAAAAGCAAGTGTATGTACCTTCATACATATATATTATGTATACATCTATAATATGTATGTATATATTTTTGTATACATAATCTAACACTGAGTGCTTTTAAAATATGCACATATCAATTACATAAACCTTTTGTAACTACACACTAGAGCTAAATATTACTTAGCTGTGTGCATTTTTCTTTGAGTTTCACTGGTTCATTGAAAGCATGATCAGTTTGTTTCTTCTAGCATAAGTTGTCACCTGAACCCCTGAATAAAAATAATGTTTCTATTCTGTCACATAAAGAGAATATATTCTAACTCTCTCGCTCTAGGTACAAATGTGTCTGTCACATTTGAAAGGCAACAGTTAAATACATGTTTCTGCTGTCAGAAATGCAGCAGTTAAACCCTAAATAATATCTATAGGATTAAGATCCAAGTACTTTACAAGAAATCTACATGCAGTTATCTTTCCACATTTCCTCTCTATCCCCTGTCATAGACTATGGAAGATAATATACGAAGAGCTCTAGTATGTATGCTTATCTCATTATCTCCATTTTCAGGTAAGTGGAGCAAACAGTTTCACCTTAGTAGATTTGTAGCAAAATAACACACATTCCTCTAAGCTAAAGGAATGAAAAAAGCAGGACTAAGCCCAGAATGGGGGCAGAGGGGGAGAAAAGGGAGGGTTTTTAAAAGAGTTTTCTGAATAATCAGGAAATCCAGTGAGACAAACAGAATGTGTAGAGAGCCAGCCAGAAATATAAAATTACCATGACAACCATAGGCAAGAACCCAGAGAGAATCAGGTAAAGAAATTACAGTAGAATTACAGTTAACTTCACTCTTTTCCTAATTTAAAAAAATAGTAATAATCCCAAGCAGTCAGGAAAAAATATTTCCTTGGCCTAGCTCATTATGGTGCAAAGGCTTGTGAAATGCAGCCTTGTTTGTAATTTTGAAATTACTTTGCAAATATATAGAGAGCTTTTATCTCGATTTGCATATGCAGATTGTTTTAACCAGTAGGATTGGATGTCAGAAACAAAACTCAGTATCACAGATGCTTTAAGTTGTTTGAAAACATAAACTAAAAGAGAATTCAGAAAAGGTAAAAGGTATGTGTGTGTGTGTGTTTGTATAGACACACATATAGTGTGTATTTCTGTGTTACTTCTTAAACATTCTGCCTTGTATGTTTTTCAAATGACTACTTTCTTCATTCAAACTTTTGAGTAACCCATTCACAACCAAAAAGCTTTAAAACAATGAATACAGTAAAAAAATACGTGAAATCAAAGCGAAGTGAAACTAAAATAAGTAAGAGTGGTGCTGTTTACTTAAAAAAGCTACAGGTTAACCATCAAGTGGTTAACCAGATTATTTGTTGAATTTGGTTTGAAATTCTGTTTGTTCAGTTTTAATGTTTCATTTCATATAATACCATTCACATATATTGGAAAGATAATACAAGTATACAATTCTGAAAGGCAGAGACCCAGGTTTAGAGAAGGAAGGGGGAATTTGTTCATGTGGAGGGTGGTTGATTTTTTTTCCTGGTTTTGAACAAAGCTCTCAGGCTGCTAACACTCAAGTATATAAATAAAATTCCCCCAATACTTTATCTTTCCTGTTTTATGTCACTGTCTGAACGCTTGTTGTATTTTATATGTGCCTGTAAACATAGACACATGCCCATATCGATCTCTTTAAATGCTGCCCTGAAGTTTGCTGCATGGTGAGGGAGAGAGCAGTGATGCACTCCATTGTTCCCCACTATGATGTCATGCTCTGACTTTGCCTTGGTTAAACAGAATTCAGTTTACTGGACTGCAGCAAAATGTCTTTAGGGAATGCAAATTTATTGCTGTAGCGGAGATGGAAAGAAATAGCAAGTAAAAAAAAGACGACTTAGGGAAAATGGTATAAATTCTGGCTAAAATATTGGCTGCCTGTATTTTTTTCTACACCTCTACAGAAGTAGATGTGCACACTCATTTATACACATGCACAAACTGTGCATAGCTCAAGGGTGTGTTTACTTTAATCTTGGGAACTAGGACAAGGGGAGATTCACTCTCAGGACTTGCATCGTCACTAAGATCGCTCTTAAACATGCAGTCTTACATCACACTGTTCTTTCTTTTTACTCACATTTACCACACACAGAGTCCACAAAACGGGTCTAATCCTGCTAGCTGTCCAGTGATGTTAATGATAGCTAAAGGCATTGGGCATGTTACAAGATCCCGTGGTAAATTAATTCATTTCCACCAGCATCTGAAAACTGTATGTGGGCATAGTGAAGGGAAGAAAGGGGATAGCTTTTTAATTGTGTTGGGAGATCCTGAGCTGGAAGAGAAATCTGAAGGGACTGAGTGGGGAGAAGGAGGTCTTTCCTCCCCCCTCCCTCCCTCCTGGCCTTCAAAAAAAACCAACCCTGGGGCCAGTCCTTCCCAAATAGGCACTGTTGGCAGGTATGTGTTAATCTTGTTCCCAGCACTTCGGAGGAGCCACCGACAGATGCTCACCCTGTCCTTTCAAACCAGCGCTTCCTGTCCTTCAAGAGTTAACCTTCTCTAGAACATTTATTTCACCATCTCAGGGAAGAAAAAAAAAAACGAAAAAAAAAAAAAACCCTGCAGAGCTGAGAGGCTGCAGATCACAAGGCCATTCTGATAGCCTCCTGTCCCCATGGCAACAGCAACGGCATTTATCAGTTCCTTATGAGAGCAGGCACAGCAAATCTGCATTGCACATGGCAGCCTTCCAGCCTTTCAAATGAAAGAGCACTTTGAACTGCTGCCAAGTGTGGAAGGAGCAGAGCTGTCAGGACTGCTTAATGCTGGCAGTTTGTACTTGGGAGCCTTTCAGTTCCCAGAATCCTTCAGCCGTGGCAGCCTGCCAGGTACTTAGCGGAAGCTAAAAACTAACCCCCAGACCATTCACTGCAGTGCACTCAAAATTTTCCACATGTACCATGTCACAAGTGCAGACTGTACAATGAAAGCAAACGCCTTCTGCTTGGGATTCTAATTTTATTAATAATCTAGGGAAAAGCAATCGGAGATTAGCTGGCTGACAGGACTACAGTATAGCCACTGTTTATAACTCAGGGTGTATATGTCAAATGTGTATTTCATCCCTTAGAAATAGAATCAGCTTGGACAACAGGGGCTGCACAGCCCTAAATCTACATGCAGTACCTGAGCGTGGGGAGATTAGTGTTAGCAGAAGGGAGAGTGTGGTTATTTACAGTGGAGATATTTTTTAGCAATCATTACCAAATGCATAGCAGTGAGATGTGAACTAGAAAACTAAGACAGTATTGCTGGCTGGTAAATATTTTCTGTCCTTACCCTCTGCATTTTGCTGACATTGTGAGAATCTCGGAAACTGGCTGATGAATGTAGCAAAGATACATGGCTCTTGGTGGGTTTTCTTTCAATGGAGAGTCTTCATGTGAACTTTTTATTGTTTTGCATTACCCAAAGCACAAGGGCTTCTGTTGGCAGAGGAAACAAACTGGCACAGTTCTGCCTTTTTTTTTTTTTTTTAATCTGCACTGAGATCAAGGGCAAGGGCTTCATTTTCCAGCACTAGTCATAAGCCTTTAGCACAAATAGAATGAAAATTGTCTGTCGCTCAGGCAGTTGGACAGGGTTCAGGAAAACTATGTCTGGCACTAATTCCAAAGGGAAGGTTTGGTTCAATCCAGCATCATCAATTTCAGTAAACTGTTTTCACTATTCTATATTCCACTGTTCAAGAGCTGTTTATTATCTTTTACTAAATAATGTCTTTTGGAGAACAGAGTAATGAAAAATACCTGATATTACTTGCATACATATGTATACTCTCACATGTATGTATACATAGAAATAGATATGGAATACATGGATATAATCTCATTTTTTTACTTTTCTGTTTTTCTGAACAATTGCTTCTTACCTTGCCTTCCCATTACAAAAAACATTTATAATGCCAAATATAAAATAGTAAAAATAGCCCAGAAGGTGAAAAAGAGAGAGAGAAATGAAAAAAACCCTGGAGCAAAGACAATCTCCACAAATTCACGAGTTTCTCCACAAAACAAGGAAATCTAGTGCCTCTTTTTCAGCTTGCAGCTATCTTTGGCTGCTGCTTGAAGATTTGACTTAATTCACCCAGGCAGTAGTGTCTAAAAGTAATACACCAAGACAGACAATTTTGGCACTTAGTCTCCCTTAGGAATTTTACCAACAGTCTTTGTAAAGAAAGTAAATGATCTTTTTTTTCCTTTTGGTTTCTCCCCATAGCTCATCTTGATATGTGCTAATAAAAGAAACTGCTCTCCCTCTTCTATTCTCACCATTATCCTCTGTCCATATCATCCTTCTTTCAAAAACAATGTTAATCAGCATTTATAATGGGGTATTGGAGAAAAAGTGCTTTTGGTCTTTTCAGATGGCCTAGTTATAGAGGAAAAGGAGGTTATGCCGTGTGAAATAAGATAGTGTCAGGGCTTTTTCCTTTTTCTTTCATTCTCCTTTCTTTCTTTCTTTCTTTCTTTTTTCTTTCTTTCTTTCTTTCTTTCTTTCTTTCTTTCTTTCTTTCTTTCTTTCTTTCTTTCTTTCTTTCTTTCTTTTCTTTTCTTTTCCTTT